CAAACGCTGGTATAATTTCATCATCATCAATCTTGCTTTTCTTGAAGTCGTACCGAGTTAAATGCAAATACTTGTGAAAGGCTTTTAACAATGGCGGTAATGGTAACAAATTTTTATTTCCTTTCTTTTCCTTTAACAGTAAAAAACGTTTCTCACAAATGGAATAATCGATTTAACCTTTCATATCCGCTATTCAAATGTTTTATTATTTCGAGTATTATATTTTGCTGCTATTATCATCATTCTGTATTGATACTAATTTAAATTATTACAAGAACACTGCAATGAAAATGAAGATATAATCTTCACACTCTGAAGCATTCATGATATTAGAACGAAAGATAATGAGAAGTATATGATATATCGATATTCAAGAAATATATAGAATCTGTAAATAATTAAAAGAATAGTTTATTACTATATTATTTTACTTTACATAATTATTATTCTTCTCAGAAAAAGCGAATATATATCTCTCTATTATTCCGGGTAAAAATTCCAAATTGTAATGAGTTTGAAGTTATTACAAGAAAAACTTTGTCTCTTTTAATTATCTTGGAATAATTCTTTCGTATAAAAGGGAAATATCTCCAAGGTAAATAATTCAAAGATCAAAAATATGCTGAAAAAAAAAAAATGTGACACTTGTCTCCAGTATTCGATTATCGATAGGCTATTGATTGCACTTGATGCTCCATTTTTTCAAAGAGACGTTTAAGGGCTTCGTTTAAGATATGCTGAAGGAACTATTTTTTTTTTTTTTATGAATAAAAAATTATTTGAAATACAAGGAAATGAAGTATCATTCGATTACGATTGTCTGAAAAATATATTTTCATAGAAGCATAAACTTTGCGTGTATTTTCTCCATGTTTCGTCGTATCGATTTTTAATTATTGTGTTGAAGAGCAATGAGTGTCTTCGATAATTTGGTTTAAAACACGAACGATACACATTTCACGATAAATTATACTGGCTGTTCAAAGTTTATATACGTACAAAGCCTAAAAATAGGCTGGACGAAATCTGTATCGTATATTCAAATTATCCAATTCCTAACAAAATATCTAGATTTGTAACTTCATTGAATTTCAAACAGTTTCAAATTTAACATAGTTCCCGCGTATAATTATATCATAATTTTACATTTCGTTAGAACAACAACATACGTTAAATTTCCACTCGTTTTTCACAATTTTCTTGTATAATATCAACTCCGGAGAAAGTAAAAATCTAATAATACAGTGGATAATAAAATTATTATAAATACTTGAAGAATGGAAATGAAAATATTTGTCTTCTTTTCAACGATTTTAAAAATATACAAAGTAATATTCGCTTGAGATCAAATATCAAATAAAAGTAATATCTTCGAATTTAAAGAAAAAGAGATTGTAATTTTAATTTTAAATATTGATTTTATATTGGATCTAACTGCAATTATAATATAAAATATATTTACTTTTTTTATACTATTATCATATATTTGTTTTTATATCAAATTACTGCATAATTAAATTCAATTCCATTCTCAATTTCGAACAATATTTTCGATATTTTCCAAGTGTTCGTAATAATTCCATCACTCATTGTAAAACAGCGACGAGGGTCAAATGAAGAAAATCATGACTCGTAAACAAGCGTGTAAAACTGAGAATAAAAATTGTTGAAATAAAGAAAAAAGCATGGTATACATCCCCATCCATCATTTAACAGCAGGTAATAAAGGAAAAGATGGTAATAAAATTCCCATTAATGTGTAATCCATACCATGATATACGCCTCCTCTCCTCGTGTTTTCTTCCTTCTCCTCGTAAGAATCCCAATAAATCACGGGCATAGTGAAATTTGCATAATTGTAGGCCCGATATTCAAATTCGAGCGCGACGTCCGCGTTTTCTAACACGTGCGTCTGAATCGATAATATCCGGTGACACACATTCTTGGCGCGGAAATGCGTGATATATATCATCTTTATGCTCCGTGGATGGAAACGAATAATCTTACAACGTTAATTCGCATCGACACACCCCCTTTTGAATCGTATCGACTCGATTAAGAAGATTAGTTTCTCCTCTCGTCGATGGAAGATCGATACCGTGTGTTATGAAATAATGTTTTCGATAATGACACCGACGTGGACCGTCAATTTCTCTAATATATCAGTATGAATGTATGTCAATATTTGCTCCGCAAAAGATAGAATATGTTCTCGAAGATGTAATTTATGAGCCGTTTGAACGTTCGAATATTTTTCGATACGAACATTTTGTCTTCTTGCAAACACAATGGATATAACGCTGTATTAACACTGCCCCTTTTTTACATTGCATTCTGTATCTTTGCAGTGCAATTTCATGAGAAACAAAAGCAAGGGAGAAATGATTTTATTATATAAGATTTAAAATTATTTATATAAAATGAGTAATATTATATATGCGTTAGATTTTTGAAAATATATTGCCTCTTGATTCCATACAAGTTTCATTTTTGATATCACTATAGAAATAATATATATTTAAAACAGATATATTATATGCATTTATAAAAATGTAAACTAACAGGATTTTAAACTCTTTCCTTTGTTAATTTAAAATAAAATATTTAAATCTGATTTTTATTCAAATAATAATTATATTCATAAATCATAATATTCCAATTCGTTTCTCTTATTATTAACTGTGAATTTCAATAGGAATTTTATCTATATCGGCTTATTTTTGGGGCAAAACGAGACATATTGTTGGATCGAAGATTAAAGCAGAATGAGTCTACAGGTGGCACGTATCTTTGATCCTTCTACTTTCCGCCCTTTCATCGATCTCTCTGTACCAAATTTCCACGCCAACTTTCCACTTCGCTCATCAAAGAATCTACGTTTCGAAATAGAGTATTTCAAAATATTTAAAAATACCATATCGAAAGAGATTTTTTCACAAAAAGGTTTTCGTCAAAATTACCACAAAGTGTTGAACAATTCTCTTTAACGAGAAATTCGTTCGATTGTAATTCGCGTATGATTAAATAGAACTGACTGATTGTTAATAACAGAAAGATAATTAATATTTTCATCGACCACGAGATTAATTTATTAACGTGTTAAAAAAAACTCAGATAAATATATACGTTGCTTACTTCTATTATTATTTTTTCCAAATACAAGAGCCTCTCAAGCAATGAAATCATTCCATATCATCTTCATGAAATTATATTAAACACAAAAGATAATTTTGTACACAAATCCTTTTCACAAAACTCGAACTATTATTCAGAATACGAAAGTATCCACTTTCGAGCGATAGTACACACGTCTTCTTCAATCCTCTCAATAATAATATTTCATTAAAGATCAAAAACTGGAAAACCAATCTATCAATCTTCTCCATCTGCAAACCGCAAACGCGTGAAACACGTTAATAGAAGTCGAACGACTCGCGTATCGGATAGAGTCGGTCGTAGAAACATCGGCTGGATCGATCGCGAAAGTTTAATTAATTATCGACGAGCTCGCGGGACAGCGCTAATTGCTTTCTCGAGCAACGAGACGGCCGAGCGTTGGTCGTGATTAAGGCTTCCGGTGGGAGGTGGTGCGCTGACCCCAAGGTTGAAATTAAGAATTAACCTGCGGGTCTCGCGGACGTGTAGCACCGGCTACTTTCATTCTCGCGCCGGGGGCGACAAATTGGCCGGGCTTCGATCGAATAAATCACCGGCCGGGAAGAATGAAATAGTGCTCGACGGAAATAGAATCGAAAGAAGGAAAAAAAAGGGGGAGAGAAGGGATTGCGACGAGTTTCTACACGCTGATATTACAAGCGCAACCAAATTTGTGGTAATCTGTCTGTGTGTACTTGAATTTGAAAGTTTATAATTTTGTTAGTATTTGTTAGTATTTAACGTTAAACGCGTTCAAACTTTTTCACATATTTAAACATATTTAAAGTTCAATCAAACTTTATGACTTTTCCTGAAATATGCATATACAATATATTTTTCAGTATTTACTTTTAGTTTCTTTCTTTTTTTTTTTTTCCAAGAAATATTTGTACTTTGTCTTATCTAGACGCTGTAGGAATAAGTATGCAAGAACTGTCGGTAGGTTTAGTGTTAAAGTGACAATAACAAGAAATGGATACGTATGATATTGTTGTTCCTAATTAGTAGGAATAATAATTAGTCCTTGGCGATGTAATATCAATTCCAAATTCAAAACAAATATTGTTACTAACGTAAATAGATATCCAAGGTATATTCCCTATAATTCTACTTTAATCTTTTATTTATAACTAAGTATAAAGATGAAAGTGATCGAAAAAAGTTATTAATAATTACATTGTAATTTACCAAATTGATTATCAAAAAAATTGTAGCACAGCTTCAAAATTAATCGAATATGAATAATTCGAATAATTCGATGATTCTTTAGAATGTACGTAATCTATAATAAAACGTTATTGATAAACAAGTTTGAAGAATGGCGAAGAATAATTGTAAAATGTAATTGTTCGTGAAATTTTTTTGAATTAGTTACGAAAATAAATATGGTGCATGGTTTTATACAGGTTTCCTCCTGTATATTTGAAAATTCGATATGACATATGGCTGCGTTGTTTCATCTTTCGATATTGGATTCATAATGATTCAGCGACAGAGAATGTAAAATGGAATTCCTGAATTTATCAGTGTACATATTGGAACATCATTGATCGTTTTGCAATCGAATTTGTTTGAAACATAATTTTGAAAGTTTAACGTCAGAAATAATATTGCAAAATAATATCTTCGAATTCGTTCTTTCTCTGTTTGCTTCGAAATTATTTTTTAAAATATATTTGCAATTATGACACGCGAGCAAATAATGGAAAATATTTTGAAATATTAAAATGGAAGAAAAAATGAACCAAGAGTATTAATTAATATCAAATGATCACTAAAATTTCAACTCAAAAATATTATGAAATAATAATTTCAAAATTGTATGCTTACATAATAAAACTCACCTGATAACTGGCGTTCCGACTGCGAGCGTGGCTGCTGCAAACTCTGCAATCAAACAGGAAGAATTCGATCAGTTTGAAAGTAGATTCATTATAGAATAACATCAAATTTCTAAACTATGCTTCGGAAAATATATACCGTAACTCGAATTTGATCTCCTTTTATTTCGTAGTATTTACGTATCAAGATTGAATTTAATTTTTCGTGAAGTGAAAGACAAACAATCCTAATTGTACATCAAAGCTTGTACTTGTACTCCTCCCGAATAAAATCGTAAAACGGAATTCTTTGTACGACGATCCTCATTTCGCAGTTATCGTCTATTCTTTTCTCTCGTTTCGCGAAGGAAAATGCACGGTAAAGCAGGTTGAACGTGTAAATTTCCTCCTATTTGCATAACAATTTCCTGTTACTTTGCGCTGCCATTTCAAACGAAGTTTCATTTCTACATCTCAGCCAAGTTGAAAAACTAGCTCGATAATACTCCTTCAAACGCTCGTTCCTATTATTTTTCGATGCGTTTGTTGTTCTTGTTGAATATTTTATTTTTTCCTCTCAAGAAACGCAGACGAGCGAACTAATAATAATAAAGAAAAAAAAAAAAAGCAAAGAAAATTCCACGAAATTAAAATTCGATCGAATCCTCGTATTAAAACCGAGAATTTCATCAAGAAAACGTGCACAACCTCGACCGAGTTATTAATTAAATCTCACTGGTAACGAGCAAATTTATATAAAATTAGCATCGGTTGATGGCCAACCGATTTGCGCATTTTCTCAAATCGTGTTGACGCTTAATTGGCTACGTCGAAATTTACGTGGGCGCGCATCATCATCGCATATTTTACGTGCGAGTAAAGCGGTGTGGGGGCGTGCTTCTTCGTAGGGGAGAGGAAAAATAAAGGGAGAGAAAATGGCCACGGGGTTGGCAATGGGGAGAGCGGAAGAGGTCGAACCATGACCTACATACGTCGAGATATCGAACACACAGCGTCGAAACAAACGTACGACCGTGACCTTATCCGTGCGCCATCCGTGGCGCAAAGCGATTCATCGATTAACGCGTTGTGTGTGTTAATTAATTTAATTGTGCATAATTTCGT